AATAGTTTTCTAAGAAACTCATGATTTAGATTTAGATAGCAACAACTTGTAGTATCTCTAAAGACTCTCTGTCAGAGACAGAAAAAAGGCAATGGCTGTTTTTATTCACATGTACTAATAAAATACTTTTAAAATGTTGGAAAAAGAGTATTTTACACTGCATACAGTTTAGTTCTAAAGAATCTGAGATACTTATAATGAAAATTTCTAATTGAAATCATATTCATGGAGACCAACAGATTCCAATCTCATTACATTTTCTGAAAGAAAAGGTATTCTTCAGTGGGTTCTAGAAAAAAATCAATCCAAATGATGTGAAATGAATGTGCATGTGCATGAAACTGTCTAGTTATTTCACTAAACAACATCCTTCTAAATTTGGTATAGTTTTCTTCTTTCCATTTTAGTCTAAACTACTTACTGATATTTCCTTTTTTTAGGGAATCAAAATGTGACGGTTTTAACAAAGATTAAAGAAAAAAGCACCGCTTGATCAAACAACTGATATCCAAACAAGAGGCGTTAAAAGTATTCTTAAGAATGAACTCTGGTCATGTGTAGCAACATGGATGGGTGTTATTGAGGGTGTTATGCTGAGCGAAACAAGTCAGGCAAAGAAGGACAGCTACCATATGTTTGCACGGATAGGAGGATTAGGAGGAACTTAACAGAGGAACCTGGGGGAGAAGAAGGGGGGAAGATAGTGGGGGAGAGGAGAGAGGCCAAACCCATGAGAGACTCTTGAATGCTGAGAACAAACTGAGGACTGATGGATGTTGGGGGGGAGAGGGGAGATGGGCATGGAGGAGGGCACTTGTGGGGATGAGCACTGGGTGTTATATGGAAACCAACTTGACAATAAACTATTAAAAAATAATAAAATAAAAAATAAAAAATAGGGGCATCTGGGTGGCTTAGTCGGTTAAGTGTCCAACTTTCACTTAGGTCATGATCTCACAGTTCATGCCCCGTGTCGGGCTCTGTGCTGACTGCCAGCTCAGAGCCTGGAGCCTGTTTCAGAGTGATTTCCTCTCTCTCTGACCCTCCCCTGCTCACGCTCTCTCTCTCTCTCTCTCTCTCTCTCTCCTAGAAATAAATAAAAANAAAAAAAAAAAAAAAAAAAAAAAGTATTCTTCTCTTTTATGTCAAATGCTACACATTTTCCCTTGATTTTTTTTTTTTTTTTGAGAGAGAATGAGAGCATGAGTGGGGTGGCGGGGGAGAGGGAGAGAGAGGATCTTAAGCGGGCTCTATGCCCAGCAAGGACCCCAACATGGGGCTTGATACCATGGCCAATCCCGTGACTGTGAGATCATGACCTGAGCTGAAATCAAGAAGTGGACATTTAACCAACTGAGCCACCCAGGCATTCCTCCCTTGAAATTTTTTAAAGGCTAATAAACTGCATACATATAAAGTTAAGTCTGAAACCATTCATTTCAGGAGTATAATTTTCCCAAAAGCAGGGTTTATTCTTGGAAGCATAGACTCTGAAAACAACTGAAGAGTGATTCAGGGATTAGTGAAGCAGAAAATACAATCTGTGTCACCATCTTCATGAAGTTAAAATGAAGTGGATTAAAACCAAACTAATTGGTTTGTAAATGTCATTTTGAGGATACAAATATTTCTTGCAAGCCACAGTGTTCGTCAAATTTGACTCTCATCATTCATTTTTCAATCTGAAGTTACCCTGGTAAATAAGTGAGGGCATTTCACATCGTATTGCATATCTCAAATGATTTGTAACAGTAATATGCAAAAGATATCTAGAACCAGCACAATTTTTATCCCCGATTTTTTTATCCCTTTAAAAAGAACATCTTCTCTTTGTTATTCACATGGAAAAGCTGACAAAGCATTCTCTTAAAGCAGAAAGTGCTGTGTGGATTGGCAAACAAACTAATTTCTTGAAACTCAGGGAAGCAAACAATAATTTTGAGTATATAAAACTCACAATGCAAGTACTAAGCATCTTTCAGGGAAATCGTGACAGAATGTAAATCATCTGATTCACAATAGGATAGATTTTGAAGGAGAAACACCTCTTCTAACTATGAGCATAAAGCTGCATAAATTATTAAATAATTTTACCTTAGTAGTACTTATTTTTGCATATGTTAACATTTAAACACACCAGAAACAGCTCCTGAAATTGCTTATGCTAATGCTTATTGCTAGTCATTTTAAAAGGCAATTCCTCTTAAAAGCAAACCTCAGGCCTCAAAACACCAGTTAGAGCCAAATAAAACATACCAAAGTCAATATATGCAAGACATGAAAACCTCCAAATTATATTTCAATGACTTTTTAATTTATAAATCAACCCAATAAACAACACATACATTTAAAATTCTAAAAACATTTTTTGGCAGGTATTTCTTAAGCCAAATATAACTTTAATCTCCCCCCAAAATAAAAATCTCCCACACATAAAGCAAAATGTTTCATTAACCTCCTAAGAAGTATAGTAGGTATGAAATGAAAACTGCTTTGGAGAATAGCTGACATGGTAATGTATAAGCTAAAGAACCAATATGTGTGTAAATAAAAATATGAATATCTCAAAGGTAATTACCATATAGTGCATGAAAGAAGCCCATGAATCTCCCATGTTAGATACACTGAAGAAAGTGTTCTAAGTGTTAGATTCTTAGAAATCCTATTCTCTTTTGTGACTAACAAATGAGTAAATAAAAATCCTTACGGTTTAGTATTTTTTCTTTCAATTATCATTGACACCATCTCTCGAAAAATACTGAACAATAATTTATAAATGCTTATTTTGTTATTTCCCTACCACATTGGCAGGAACTGACAGATATCTAAATATTTAAGATTTATGTTGAATCCTCATCCTACTGACAGCCATAAATAAAGTGTAATAAACCATTTCAGGAAACAGAATGCTCTTTGAATTGGAAGGAAGCCCATGAACAGAAAGGGTTTTCAGCTCAAAGACTTTATTGGCAAAATAAAACCATAACCAGTGGTTTGATCTCTATTAATAAGCTTGTATTTCATACTGTATTTAGTTGACTTTGAATTATTGTTTGAGATATTATAATGGTCTACAGGATGTGCAACAACATGTACTTCTCAAAGAGGAAAACGTATGGAATTGTGCATATCAGGCTATTTTATGCTATAAAATAATTTATGTAACTACCCTTTTCTGATTACAGGCTTATCAATCTACCTCCTGATTATGATATGGATGCCTGTTTGGTGTTCCTATTTCACCGATTCAAAGGAGGACTTAAGATCAAAAGCCATTTTATCACTTATCAAGAAAAAACAATCTATTTTAAGCCTACTCGTACTATTTCATGAAAGGACAGGGCACATACAAGAATAACTAGAGCGTATATCCCAGATAACAGAAACTGGTTACCATGTATGCATTTAATGAAAAACAATACACTATTAACAGGTTTATCCTTCAAACCCATACACTGTAGCTCTTACTGTAGCGGTTAGAGTTCATATTTTCCTTATGTCTGCACTTCTCTACCTCACTGGAGTTACAAAACAAAAACAAAAACAAAAAAACATGTAAATCTGTATGGGATTCAATAGTGAGGTAACCCTCCCCCATCCTGCAAAACAAGGAAATAGGATTGATAACAATTTCTTCCTTAGAGCTATACCGGGACAGAATGGGGCAGGAGGGACGCTATTCATCCACTGAAACAACAAAAGAGTTTACAGGAGTTAGTACTAAATTATGCATTATTTAAAGCAGAAAAAACATTTCTAATGAACTTAATCTGAGTTCAATCTCACAAACACATTTGTGTTATTATCATTTTCCTTCCCAAGTATGTGTGCCTACCAAGAGCAATATACTGGGTCAATTACATGTGAGTATTCTGGTTCTTGTGGTAGTTATATATCTTATCTAAAATGACTGAATTTTCATTTTTATTGATATCTGCTTTTGTGAGTTTAAAATTACACCTCCCCCGCCACACACACATACCAGATGGATCTGCTGTCAATAAGATGAGACAATCAGGTTCTGCAACAAAGAGGATTAGCTTCTACTTGAAGATAAATTCACTGAAAGAATACCCTCTGAACTGCTTCTGAGCTTTTCCTGATGAGAGCTACCACTACCACGCAGTCTCCTTAGTTGGAACTAATTTGATATTCCAAAGACCATTTAATTATATAAACCTACCCAAATACTAGTTTGTATTATATCACAGATATCAATCCCACTGACACAGCTTCTGCAAACTCTGGTTTTAAAGTATGGTAAAGCCTCAGGGAAGTGAGAACAGAGTTTGCAATTTCAGACAAGCTGGCAAACAAAAAAAGTGTTTCATAGGCCAGAAGAAAAGCACAAGTCAAGAATCATGATCCCTCTAATGCATGTGTCTGCAAAGTATGACTGTGTAGCACCCGAGATAAGGATGAAATTTACTTACGCATAATATAACAAAAATATAAATTCGGTGCTGCCTGTCAACTGAAGAAGCAGAAAATGAATAACCATCCAATGGAGGACTTCCCCCAGAGTGACAAATTATAACAGAAGCAGTGCCAGGAATAGATTTCCTGATTTAAACAGTAAACCATGTTGCCTTTTATAGAGTATATGAATGAAATTGGCAAGAGTAGCTAATTAATTATAGCTGATTAGTCTATCAAATCTCTTGGTAGAATAAGCAAAACATGAACTTTTATAACTACTTGAGTCAACAGACTTCAAATGTAGCATGCTTCATCCATGAGGCATATGCATTCTAAAGGCTTTGAATTTTTTCTCAACTTTTATACTTTAATTTAAGATAATGGTATTTTGAGAACTAAAATCATATAGAATAATTCATAATATAGTGCAAGAAGAAAGAATATTTTAAATACATCCAGGATAGAGGAAAAAACATATCGTGCATAATTTCTCTTTTGTGCTTAGTTTGTGGAAATGTGAAGTCTGAGATAATTAATGTTAAACTCTACTAAAAACCATGGCAGTCCAGAAATGTACCAACCTTCAGGATCAAGCAGTTTCTCTATGCCTAATTGATATTTGGCAATGTTGAATGCATGTTCCAGTCGTTGTGTGGCTGACTGCTGGCAAACCACACTATTCCAATCAAACAGGTCTGGTCTGAAACACACACATATAAAGGCAAATATAAATCAGTTTACAATATTCCACCAGACTCACTTCAATTCTGATTTTTAACTGACAACACATGCTCATCATCCTTAAGAGTTGACTGTTACTCTTCATTACCCATCGATAGTGGTTTTCATTTTAACAAGTGGCAATTTTACTTGCAAATCCTGAAGAAAACAATGGAGAATTTATTCTACTTTGTCAAGCAACAAAAATATATTAATCTCATCTAATCTCAGAAATTGGAATGCCAGCCATTTGTTGGTGACTTCCAATTTTGTAAGCCTGGCCCAGACCTCTTCCCTGACCTCCGGACTCTAGATTCAACTGCTTATTCAGTATCTCCACTTAGAGTCATCCCAAGATTCAAGTATCCAAAACTGAACTTCTAGTATTCATCTCCATCACACCCCCCAAACCCACCTACTTCTCTTAAGTTCGCCCTTCCTCAACAATCAGTGACAAGTGCTAACATGCAGTGGCTCAGACAGAAATCCTGGAGTGTAATATAATGACTCCTTTTCACACAGCACTTGGTTGGAAATATATCCAGAATTTGACCACTTGTCAACCATCCTTGCTGCCATCACCTCAATCCAAACCATTTTATCTTGCATGGATTACTTCGTGCATTAACTTTCTAATGGCTCCCCTACTCTCACCCGTGCTATTATTAATCTATTGTCAGCAAAGCTGCCAGAGGGATCTGTTAAAATGTTTCATCATAACCTACTTTTCAAGTCCCTATTGGGGGAGTAAAATTCATTGATTTAACTGTGACATACAAGACACACATGGTCTGGCTCTCCACTAACTGATTTTATTTCTTGCCTCTTTCCTCATACTCCTTCAACAGGCTAGGTAGTTTCTGTATTTGCATGTACTGTTCCCTCTGCCTGGAATTCTCTTTCCTCAGACACCAACAAGGCTCACTTCTCCACTGCCTTTATGTAGTCCCTTAAAAGTCTTACTATTATGATAATTATTATTATTCCCTCCTCTCTCCCCATCTAAAAGTGCACACTCCCAGGATGGCTGAGTGGCTCAGTCAGTTGAGTGTCTGATTCTTGATTTTGGCTCAGGTCATGATCTCGTGGTTTAACTGGGTCCCACGTCAGGCTCTGTGCTCTTAGCTTGGGATTCTCTCTTTCTCTCTCTCTCTCTCTCTCTTTCTCTCTCTCTATCTGCTGTTCCTCCCTCTTGCACTCTCCCTCTAAAACTGAATTTAAAAAATTAAAAATAAATACAATTGCGCACTTCCAAATCAAACTTCTACATACACACTTCCTATCCCTTTCTTTCTGGTCAGCACTTACTACTGTTTAATATTTTATATATTTTAATCAATCTTGTCTATTCATCTGTTTTCCCCACTAGAATTCAGAATACACATATTTTTCCACTGGTTTTGTTCACTTCCAGAAACCCAAGCCTGACACATAGGAGATGATCAATAAATACTTGTTGATTACATATTTGTTGATTCAATAAATTTTGTTGACATGCAAGCAGAGAGTGGATGACAACATACTATATGAGTATCAATTTACGTAATGATAGAGAAAACGCAAAGGAGTGTGAGAAGGAGTTCTTATCCTATAAGGGCTTAAAACCTACTAAGGAAAAAATAATAATATTTGACATCATAATAAGTCAATATAAATTCTAAAGTGAAAATTCTAATGTGAAAAATATAGAAGGTTTTATAAAATCTGAAGGGGTTAAGAAATATTTTTTGAGGCTTAAGGAAGTACTCTTCAATGGTGGTTTGGAATGAGATTTAACAAGTTTTTGAGAATAGAATCCTGAGTCGTATTGAGATTTTAAAAAAAAAAAATCAAAGTTCTTATGCCAGGAAAAAAGCAGAATGTGCTTAGTCGATCAGAACTCACAGGCCTGGCTCCACAAAGACATTTCTGGTATGGAGAAATGGTGGGAGACAGCACTGGGAAGGGGGACTGGGATGAGTTCGCAAAAGGTCTTAGTCATTTAAGGAATTACCATTTACCCCTACAACACTGGAAACCATTTGTCAAGTGGTTCTTTGCCTTTTTTTTGGATCACAGACACCTTTGAAAATCTGATGAGCACTAAAAAACTTTTATCGCTACAAAAACCTGTCACTATATTTTACACAGAATTTTAGGACAATGGGGTCTCTCAATGGACTCCTGCCTCAGAACTCAGGCTCTGCAAGGGAGGAAATTAGACGGATGGGCTTAGCTGTTATTTTCAAAAACCATAAATAAAAATAAAGGGACAACTCTCTGATTGGACTCGCATTTCCCTTCTTTACTTGATGCTACCCTGATCAACTTACCAGAATTTTGTTCACTTCTTAGGAAGTCTAACCTGCCCTCTCTACTCCATGTTACCCCAAAAAGCTAACAATACTTTAGAACCTGAAATATGTCTAAGCTGTGAGCTGACTCTAGTATGGAAAGACTCTAAGAAGTAACAATGACATTCTACACCATTGCCTTCATCACACTGTTACCCGGGGGGCTATGGACAGAACTGGAGTGAATACGAACACAGAGTGAGGTGTATGTTGTTACAGAGGTTCTGTTTCTTTGGATGAATGTTCAGTGTGTAGCGTCATCCTATTACACAAGAAGGTGAAAGATTTAAAAGAAATATCTCAGTTCTTTTCAAAAAAGAAAACATTAATTCTATACTATTTGTGGAAATTTTAACTTCACTCTGCACCCACTGCCCCATCCACTTTTGTCCATCTCTCAGCAATCAAAGTGGAAAAGAATATAGGTAGGAGACTGTGGGAGACTATCTTTCTCACCTACACTATAGTCAACAGGGTTAAATGAATATAATGAAAAAGAATAGAACTGCTTCTTCATTCTATCCTGTTTTCCTTCATCCCCTTCTCCTCTTGGCCATGAACTAATCACCTGGATGAGGAGCTATCTAAGTCATGGTATCTAGTTGAGCTTCAGGGTTTTCATTTTAAAAAGAAGGAAATGTTCTGAACGGCCTTGGAGGTGTCCTCTAGCATTAATGTTTTAAATGATTAAAATTCATCATTAATTAACATTTTAAGCAACTATGATTTCCAAATGCATAAAGAATTTGAAGACTAACCAACTGCAGAAGAAAGCCGCATACCTTCCCATGTGAATCCAGACCTGAACTTATAAATAAGAATGTGCAACCAAGGATTAGCAGTCTTTTGAGGAAACAGACATATTCAATAAGATTATATAGCCTAGTAGGTAAGCAGAGTCCTCTGTAAATGCAAATCCTGGCTCTACCACGTATTAGCCAAATGGTCTTAGGTAATTAATGCAACCTCTCTGTGCCTCAGTTTCCCATTATGTGCAATGAGACTAATTACAGTATCAAGGTATTACTTTGGTACTATTACTAATGAAGTACTACTTTGTTCTAAGGTTAATTATATGTATGATATAATTATTGTTATTATTATAACAATAATGCATTTTCAATTTATAGGCTCATGCCAAGAACACCTATAACTTACATATGTAAATGTTACAACACTGTTGATGCAAAAGGAACAAAATAGGAGGGTAGCGGGTGGGATGGGCAAAGGAGAATAAGAGAAACAGCCTTCCGGTTATGGAATTTATGTCATGGGAATAAAAGGCACAGCATGGGGAATACAGTCAATGATATTGTCATTGCATCACTTGTGGGGAGTATAGCATGAGTCGTCAGATCATTATTTTCTATACCTGAAACTAATGTAACATTGCATATTAACTACACTCAAAAATACCTGCTAAGAATATTATAACAAAATTGAAGGTGGAGAGAAGAGGAGCAAGTAGAAGTGTAATAATATGGTCATCTTTTATACCAGGTTCTCAACAAATCTTGTCTAAACTTGATGAAACGAGGGTCTCCTGGCTGACTCAGTCAGAGGAACCTGTAACTCTTGATCTGGGGATTGTGAGTTTGAGCCCCACACTGGGTGCAGAGATCACATAAGAACAAAATTTGAAAAAAAGCGTAAACTTGATGAAACATGGTATATCATTATCACTTAAAGTAACACAAGCAACAATTTTAAGAATGAAATGACTATATTATAGCAATCAAATTAGGAAATAGTGATAAGAGATAATATTTGTGGGCTTCATACTAAGAAGCAAATCCATCTCCTATCAGACATTAACTAATCAGGAAATAAAATACGTAATTAGGAAAACCATCAAAGAAGTTACGGACAGTAACCACTTCCAGGAAGTGGAGGGTGACTGGGTGGGGCTGGGGTCATAAAGACACATTTTGTTGTTTTGCTGTCCTTTGCTGTCCCCACCGTGTCTGATTTTTGTTTAAACTACATCCTATGTTACTTCTTCGTTAATAAATTAAAATGGTGGATTAGGAAGAAAATTTAGTTGTAACATCATATTTATTCCAACCTATCTGTATATTTTGAGCTATTTCAAAACAATTACCATTTAGTCTTCCCACAAAAGTACAATGTGGCTTCCATTGAACTGCACTGTAGTGGACTCTGTGATTTAATATAATACTTCTAATTTCCTACATATTAAGATAAAATTTTGCCTTAAATAGATCTAAGTCAAGCAATATCCTAACCTTCTGCAAGGTGCTTTGTCAGTCCCTGTGCTCTCTATTAAGTGCCTGCCTTTGTTGTATATAGCTTAGTCACTCAATTATGGAAATCAGGACACCTGATGACATTCCTAAGTATACCAATGACAATCACCTTGGAACAGAAATTTCAACCACTTTTTTTTCTTTAGATAAACAATATGAACATCTGTCAAAGACAAAAAGAAGACAGAGATGATTCATGAAAGAGCATTATCAACTGTGAGAAACCTCTTGAAAAGTAACTGTGTTATGTATGAAAAGGTAGTTACTGATGATTCATTCGATATGACAAGACAGAATATATAAATGAGATTTTGAGAAAAAAAAAAGAGTGGGTCAGGGACAGATGCTGCAGGGCAATGCGGAAATGTTTACTGTATTACAAATATATTCAAAAATCACGAAATATAAGACTAACGAATGTAGTGTGTAGACATGCTGGGGGGACTGAAGTCTCCCACTTGAAAAGAAAATGCTAAAGAGCCAACAAGGACCCCATAACCTGATCCTCAAGATTTCTGTTCATCTGCAAACGTGTACATGAACAGCAAGATCAGTATGTTCAGGCCCTTACTGTGAAGCATGTGGCCGCATAAATCAGCGCTGACTTATGATGCAGAATGGATGCCTCTATCCCTTCTCATCTAGCTGTACTGAAACTGTGCAATATTTTTCTTCGAGTCATGCTTAGGAAAAACAACGTGTTAACACTGCTTAACATGCCAAATGAGTGTGATCTTGCCTCCTTTTGAAAATCAGGTTGCTGAGTCATTCACCTGGAAACTCAGTCTGGATGGGGTTAATTAAATCCAGCTGGAGCGCGACATCTGACAAAGATGCTTATTGAGAGAGGATTTGTTCTTGGATTGAGCTCTACCATGAAGAAATTTATACTCTGGACTTTTCTAGAAACAAGACCGGCATAGGGAAATGGGAGACTCGTCAAGCAAAGAGAGATCAAAGTGAGAAAAGATAAGCTGCATTGAAAATCAGGGCAGATGCAGTCCAGTGGCATTTCAAACACAGTTAATGAGGCAATGTGTTTGACCCTAGGCATTGGGCTGGATAAAAGAAATGGGTAATAGGAAAAGCAAAGTAAATATCCTTTGCAGTAAATGTGTTATACGTATGATATATATATTTATATATTACATATATATGAATGCATTATATGTATGTATTTACCACGTTGTTTGGCTTTTTCTTGAACTGTTACTAATTCATTTACTAAGCTTCTTTACACAAGAAAAAGCAAGCTAGTTCTTTACCTTAGAAAATGTAATAGTGTATGGAATACACTTAAGGGTATTTGGTTCATTGTAACACAATGAGTTCTTTTTATGAAGACCGAGAGAACTCTACCTCTGCTGTTCCAGAGCAATTGTTTCTCTTGATATTCTGAGCAGTGAGTCATAGAATTAATTGTGGTCTGCTCTTTGCCTTGGTTGCTAAGATGCTCAGAGCCTGTTTTAACCTCGAAATTAAACACATACACACACACACACACACACACACACACACACACATAACCAATACATAGAGCCTTATGTATTTGCTATCTAAACGTGTATCTGATGAGACAAATGTTTCTTTTTCACATTATTAATCTGATGACAGTAATAAATTTTATTATAGCCATCCGCGTGAGATTTGGAACCATTTTAGCTCTGTAGTTTCGGCCCATACTAACAATTATTTGTGAAGACAGACCAACTCCATTCTTAGCAAAGTTAGAATATAACCTTGATTTTCTGGCAGAGCCCCGATTTCAAACATGTTGGCCCCCTCCCATAACCATATTCAAGCTCATATATTTTAATATTTCAACAATTAAATGCCATATCACATTTAAAAAAAAACAGGCTATTCCTATTTAGGGCTTTCCAATGGATAGTCATATCAATATGGTTAAATACAGTAACATATAAACATGTTCAATAGTAGGAAATGAGCTGGAACCACACTGGAGAAAAAGGTACCAGTCTAAATCAATACTTACAAAAATTAGTTAATATCTCAGTAGTCTCCTTACCTATGACTGTGGATGAGAGCATTTAAAGCCAGACCATCAGACCAGCTAGTGGTAAAGTTAATGACATTAACCTGTGGATAATTACGAGTTGATTGTCGGACCCAGCTCAGGAGAATCTTTTCACTGTTGGTTTGTTGCAATCCAGCCATGATATTTTTCATTACATTTTTGACCTACGCGTGGAAAGAAAGTTTCATAAGAAAATGCATTCCCTGAACAAGAACCACACAAACTTAAATTTCAATGTCCTAATCTTCAAAAATAAGTAATAGGAATTTTAGGGTCAATTAGTAATAAGAAAAAATAGATTCTACAAGGAGGGAGTCCATTCTAATTAGTTAGGAATCTATTCTGATTGGTTGGCGTCATGATACACCATTTATTGCAAGCGTTTAATATCATTCCCAGACTCTGCCGCGTTAAACTCTTAATTTTCTGCTTTTACGATTACTCATCTTCTAACTTTCAATGGGTATACTAGAGAAGAGTGTACAAAAACATCAGATTTGTTATTGAACAAAGCCTTAATATGACTTTCTTTTTAAGTTTATTTATTTATTTTGAAAGACAGTGCAAGCAAAGGAGGGGAAGAGATAGGGACAGAGGATCTGAAGTGGGCTCTGTACTGACAGGAGAGAACCTGACGTCTGGCTCAAACTCATGAATTGCGAGGGGCGCCTGGGTGGCTCAGTCAGTTAAACGTCCTATGTCAGCTCAGGTCATGATCTCACAGCTCATGGGTTCAAGCCCCGTGTCGGGTTCTGTGCTGACAGCTCAGAGCCTGGAGCCTGCTTCGGATTCTGTGTCTACCTCTCTCTCTGCCCCTCCCCTGCTCACACTTGCTCTCTCTCTCTCTCTCCCTCTCTCTCTCAAAAATAAACAAACATTTAAAAAAACAAAACTCACGAACCTCGAGGTCATGACCTGAGCTGAAGTCCGACACTTAACAGACTGAGCCACTTCTGGCACCCATACTAGGGGCTTTAAGAAAGAAAGAATGGCACAGTGGCTAAGAGAATGAACTCACTTTCTTTAAATGTAGGTTCAAACCCTGCCTTTGCTATTAACACATTGTGTTAATTAGACCGTTTAACCTTTTGAGGCCTCTTATACATTCAAGGCTGTTTTAAGAATCAAAGGACAACTATACTAAAATTAAATCCCTAGGTTTATAACTTAAAATAATGCAAATTATGTTTACTGACCAAAGTGAAAAAGAGAACCAAAAACATGAGTTTGCCTTTTTAAAATAAATAACAAAAAAATCAACAAGAGTAAAAGTATTTATCCCTAAAACCTGTGGCTGTATTGCCCCGGGTTTTGTAGTCAGTCTGGTTTACGCTGTGAGAGCCGTTTTTCAGGAAACAGATTCACATGCAAGAGAAAAACAAAAGTTACAAACGCCCCAAACATGGGTCCAGGACTTTGGCTCGTTTATGAGGCCTCTTGGGTCACGGGAGATGGCAGTGAGGAAGCTGCTTTTGTATTAAGAAAAATATGTCACAAAATCCCACTGACGGTACAGTCACTGCAGAGGTCCTGAGAGGAACACAGAAGACACATCCTACCTCTCCACAGGTGGTGAGAGGCCGGGCCTGCTGTCTAGAAGCACAGTGCTGGTGGCCCCGGGAAAACACTGTTTGCTTGGGCTGCCGGGCCAGCCACCCAAGATACTGTCACTGTTATTTCATTCTACTCTTGATATTTTGGACCTGGTAAGCTCTGCTATGAGCTTTTCTTTCAAACTGTCTTAGAAGAATCGTGTCCCCTCCAAAAATGTGAGGTGTCGGTTACGGTCAGGGAGACCTAGTCTCTCCTAGATGACAGGGCAGAAATCACTTCTCTCCCTGCCTCCAGAACGAAGAGGGACCCCGGTACTCCTTGAACAAAGGAATCTTGGAAGGATCATTCTTGACAAAGCGCCTGGCACAAGCAAGGGGCACCAAATGCAGACAAAAACAAGTAAAGCAACTTGTCCTCAAACCCCCCTTCTCCTCCCCCTACCTCAAGAAATGCTTCCTGTGACGGGGGTAACAAGGCTTTGTCTGCTCTGTCCCCTTGGGCTTGTTTTTTGGCCAGACAGGTTAAGGGCGTAAGGCTGTGGGGAAGACGGGGAGAGAAGGCTCTGGGTCTCCAAGATGCCCTCAAATGCAGAGTGGCTGGGCTGTGCCTGGGGCTGAGAGCGGGCCGCTCCTTCAGCAGCTTCCCGTCGCCCCGGCTCGTGGAGAAGTCACAGCCCCTGCCCCAACACACGCTGTCCCCTCGCCACAGTCCAGTCACAGGGGGCAGGAGTAATGACCCGTGTGGCTCGGGTTGCCTGGCACTGGCAGGCCTTCAGTCGGAGTCGGTGTCGGCCCTTTCTTCTTCTGCCTTGTTGCCTGTCGCCTTCGGAGTCTCCTGGCGTGAGGGATTTGGCCTCCTCATTAAACGTCACGTACAAGTGCTCGCGAGCATGACGGTGGCAAAGAAGCCAGGGACCGCGGCTGCACTGAAACCCCATCTGAGGGCCACGTCTGAGGATTGGCGACAGCCGCAATGGAGACGGCGAGGTAGACGAGGTCCGCCGTGACACTGCGAAGTCCCCCGTGAGCCAGCGCAAGCCCTACCACTGTCGCTCAGCAGCGGGGCATCGGCGAAGCAGAAGTAGTGGGCCTGCAGGAGTCGAGCAGGAAGGCACTGCTGCGGACGCCACACAGCAAAGGTGACAGAGGACTGGCCCAACCCCGCCCGCAGGAGGAAGCCTTTGAGCGAGGAGAAGCTGCAGGCACGCAGGAGGGCGGAGCCCAGAGGGTCACCAGGCTCTGGGCCCGTTTTAGGCTCAGGTCTGCGGACCCGAAGGTGGCTGGCTGGCTGGAAGAGCCAAAGCTCCACCTTTCTCTCTCTCTCCCGGAAGCCGGAAGGGAAGTGGAAACCCAGACCACGGAGAAGGAGAAAAGGGCCAGATTCTTGGTTTTATTTTTATTAGTTTCTGTATATTGGATTCTCGCCTAGGCTTTGTGCAAATGCCATTCAGCGGGTTGCTCTATTTCGATGTTTCTTTCTTCTAACTTGTCTGATGCAGAAATCCATTCTAAACATTTCTCTAGGTTTCAAGAATGCAGTGACACCACATTACAGAACAAACTGTCTACATAGTCTACTAAAGGCATAATTACAAGGCTACTTTTTAAACAGAAGTCAGGCCCCATATATACCTGAAGGAAGTATGTAAGTAAATGTGATTCGTTTTTACCCCCAAGGGCTTTCCTTTTGGAAAGCATAAGGTCCATACACTACTAACATGTGATCAGATGATGAATATTTATTGTGTATTCTAAATATGACATTTTATTTTGCTTCTTTGTCCATGTAGAAGTTAACCAAGGCCTCAGGGGAAAATACATATTTTAACATCTCCAGTGTTAGTCATCTTTTTATGAAAGAATCAATGCAAATTTTAGGATAGACTGCTCCATCTAACTTTAAAATACTTGAAAAGGATTTGAGATGATGCTCTGTAAATGTGGTAATGATTTGAAGATGTGAGATCTTTGCATATATTTATCACCATCCCTTGATAGCGAAATCTATTATTTAGAGGTAGATTATCCAGGTTTCTTAATTCCTTCCTGACCTGCTTATTTAGTCAGTTACTCAGTGAATAAATAGGTCAAATAGTTATATAAGAGATATCATTTTTCTCATCACATTCTAAAGTTATAAAGGACACAACCTCCATGTACAGTGATTACAAGACATGTACTCTGTGTCCTGTGCCGAACCAGCACCAGACTCAGCACATACTAGCTCAGTGGTGGTGATTTGCACTGATCACGCAACCCTCCCATGATGAATGGGATTCATTTGTGAAATGCTTGGGCAGACTGCCCTCTGCGCACAAAATGTTAAAGGGCAACACAGTATTCAATCCAAAACTCCTTTACCATCATTATGCCATTAATTCAGCTTATCAGTCTCAGCCTCACTAGTATTGCTTCTATTTGGGTGCAAATGTTGCTAGGAAAAAAATAATAATAAAGGTCAACGTAGGATAATCAGTTCTTTTCCTACATAAAGGACAGATACCCAGAAATCTTTATTAAGGACCAACCTTCAGTCAGACACTGAGCTGGTCCTAAGTTGAGTCTTAAAGCAGAAAAATTTCCCACCCTTAGGACTTAACAGTCCCTAAGATAGAAAATCAGTTTAAACAAATGTTTGTGTGTGTGTGTGTGTGTGTGTGTGTGTGTGTGTGTGCGTGCATACAGCTATATATCTATGTTTAAAAGGAAAAATTTGAAATGTCATTGAGCTGTGATTTTGAAAAGTGACTAGGAGTTAACTGGGTAAAGATGATATGATGGACATGGAGGTCCACCACCAAAATTATCTCTCAAGGACAGGCTTGCTGCTGCATCTGTGAGTCCTTTCAGGGACTACCTGAAGTAGAGAGTCCTGTTACCTAAGGTCAAGGCCTTCCTAGGGCAGCTGCTGAATGGTTTAAAGACTTAGCCATGTCAGACCCATACAGAACAACACTCAAGAATTATTCTAACTCCCATTTCCACATGAGGTTCAATACAACTGTGGCTAGGTGTGTATCATACCTCTAGCTCTTCTCACTCCAGTTACCCTCGCCCATCCTCAGGTGCTGGTCCCAAAAGCATGCCTGAAGTAATGTCTTGCCTGCTAAATTCAATGCCTAGATTGCCAGAATCCATCCTGTGACCAAAAGGAGATATAGTAGGGGGGCAGGAGTAAAGAGGGAAAGGGATAGTTCTTGACAAGGGAAGAGTGGTGTGTGTGAAGAAGACAAGAGCAAGGACTGTGTTGCTCCTCAGGGAGGCAGGAGTTTACAGCAAGGCTTTCCACAGTGTCAAAGCCGTCTTTCACCTGTATGATGTGCAAATAATAAATAAATAAACATTGCAGGGTAAAGTTGTCCTGGATTTGACTTTTTCCATTGACTTCACCAGCAAAGGTGGGGATGTGACCTCTGATAGCACACTACTGTTAGCAGAATATGTTTGTATCTCCAGCTGGTTATCAGAACCCAGCTGACCACCCTACAAAGGAAGGTTTGCACTTAAAAAAGAAGGAAGGGGCGCCTGGGTGGCTCAGTTGGTTAAGCATCCAGCTTCAGCTCAGGTCATGATCTCATGGCCCAGTCCATGGCATCAAGCCACACGTGGGGCTCTGTGGTGACAGCTTGGATCCTGGAGCCTGCTTCAGATTCTGTGTCTCCCTCTCTCTGCCCCTCCTTCTGTCTGTCTGTCTGTCTCTCTCTCTCTCTCTCTCTTTCTCTCTCTCTCAAAAATAAACAAAAGCATTTTAAAATTAAAAAATAAGAAGAAAGAGAAAGATGCCAAGCATATGGCATATATCAACTTCACAATTTTGTTCAAGGCTGCTTATTCCTCAATATAGGCAATATTGTTCAGGCTAACAGTTTCCAGTTGGAAACTGGAAAAACAGTGACAGGAGACATACCATACGCATTCGTGAACTTTTATAAGTTCAAAGAGAAGACCTCCATGGCACTATTAATAACATAGTATGTGGCACTGGAACAAAAGATTCACATGTTTCCAGCTCTTAATGCCATCCTCAATCTGATAGATCAGGAAAGTACATTAAGTTAGCCCAACTGTCCTTTGATCTCTGCTGAGATTCAAGGGCTTCTTTGACTACTTAAGAGGAAGGCAAGCATGTACTCTGTGAAAATGCCTTTGGGGATTCATCGGGTTTTGATGAGGAGTACTGAGTAGGAGAAATTTTTTGAAAGTGAGTTTAGAAGTTTTAAGAGAACCAAGCAGGATGATGGAAAAGAGATAAGGAGGCAGAGGCTGGAAAGAGTCTACATCCTTGCAATCACAAAGATACAGTGATTCAAGGACACAAATGTAAGACAACAGACTGTAAGAGGACTCAGACAAGGAAAGACTGCAAAAGCACTCCTTTTGGTAATCGAGGGTGTGAAAGACCCTCCACATGCTAATAATAATATTAAAAAAATGAGCAAGCTCACAAGCAATTGAAAAAGCTATCAGGGTAGTTGTGAAACTCTATCTTGCAGTGAGTTCAGGAGTTGGAAAGGGTTTTAAGATAAAGTGAGATCATATGAGAGACAGTTTGGGTGAAAAATACAATTAAAATAGCCCTTTAGGTCTCCATGCATGCCTAACCTCTTCTGCTGGATTTGTCATGTCCAACATATGCTCCTGCAGAGCTTAAAGTGTCTTCTGCAAGCTGGGGCCCCTCCATGAACCATTTGTACCAGTGTACCAACTGATAGAACCCATTGTGTCTATACAATTGAGGGTTCATTAGAAATTTCTGTACCAATTTTACAAGGTCCTGCATATGTCTTTTGAGTTTAATGATAAAATGGCTTGGGTTTTGTGTGTCTTTTTTATTACATTTTTATAATGCTTCAGTTTTACTGTAATATGCATATGATGGAAAAGAGGGAAAAAACTACTTTCCTCAAGATAAGTTTGAGGATTACTGAGCAACAGAAGTAAACCAGTTTGGTGAGGGGCCCTGTGTTGCCTTGCTGGTTCTATGTGACACCATCACTATATGGAAAAGGCCCAGAATTGGGAATCTTGGGTTCATCTAAGGTTCTTATGGTCTGTTTTCTGTTGTCATCCACTATGCTGTTCTCAATCTCTTCCCATATTGCTGTGAAATAAGATTGAGCCTGTTCAGAGTGTTTAGAATAGAAAGATATGGAGGTCAACGGGGTCAATATGGGGGTCAATTCATTTGCTGACTTGGATAGGTACACCACTGGTCTATATCCTGACTCTAAGCAGGACCAAAGTACAACTGAAGTTAAGTCAACCCTACTAAATGAAATGGGGATATGTGCTACAATAATAAAGGTGAACCTCAAAGATTATGTTCAGTGAAAGAAACCAAATATAAAAGAACACTTATTGTATAATTCCACCAGTATGAAATTTCCAAAAAGGCAGACATATAGGAACAGAAAGTAGATAAATGGTTGTCCAGGGTTGGAGTGGGGAATGACTATTAATAAACATAAGATTTGTTTTTAGGTTGGTGGAAGTAGGCTAAAATTAGATTGTTTTGATGGTGGTACAACTGTAAATATCCCCAAATCTTGGATACATTGGTGGGGGGGGGTCATTTCTCAAATTAATTTGAGAAGCACTGGGCAAAAAACTAAACCAGTTTGGTACACTTTGAATTTTATACTTAGAGTGAGTAAATCTATCATATATAGATTACATATCAAAAAAGTTGTTTTCTGAAAAATTAATCACTGCTAGTAAAAAGAACAGACATCTAGGGGCACCTGGGTGGCTCCATCAGTTAAGTGTCCACCTTCAGCTGAGGTCGTGATCTCACAGTTTGTGAGTTGGAGCCCCACATTGGGCTCTGTGCTGACAGCTCAGAGCCTGGTACTTGTTTCAGATTCTATGTCTCCCTCTCTCTCTGCCCCTCCCCTGTTCACACTGTGTCTTTCTCTCTCTCAAAAATAAATATTTAAAAAAAAAAAAAACAGACATCTCAATTTTCTTCCAGATTCTTAAAATATGAGTAGAAAACTCCAAGCAATCCAAATTATTCATATGATACACCTGTAGTGAAAATGGTATACTCTAATGGGAGCTTTACAGATATTCTCTCATTTAATCCTGATAAGAAATATACATGTTGATGGTTATTTTTTTTCTATTTTAACAGTGAGGGAATTATGGCCCACAAAAGGATGGAATTATACCCAATTTCACTATAAGATGGTAAACTGGGAGGCTGAAATTTAAGTTCATGTTGCTCTGACTGAAAAAAATGTATACTCTTCAGCAAACAAAATGACCTTTGATCTCTTTTGCAGAGGTCTAATAAATATAGACATCAGAAAACCCTATGCTGAGGTATTCAGAAAAAATATCAATTTCAAAATTAGATTATACACTCAATTTTTATGTATAACATAAATACAGATAATTGTATCCCACTGAACTTTTACTGGAATTAATTTATACTGGGAATATAAAAGAGTCGCAGAGTCTCATCCATTTGGTAGAAATTAATACTTTTTACAGAACTATGTAGATTTGCTTACAGGTGAATTATAGAAGACACATATTAGTGGAAAATATTTTTATTTGCCTATTGATGAGACTTGTCTTTTTTGTCTCATCTCTACACATTGAAATAAAATTTAGGAAAATATTACTGCGAATGTTCTAGAACCTGTTTTATAATCTGCTGATCATTCACACCTCAAATGACATTAGTTGTGCCAATTTAAAAGGCAATGCTAAGGAGATGGGCTTTGTATTGTTAGAGGCATACATGTTTGTTTTGCAGGTCAAGGGCAAACATGAAAGTAAGATCTGCAACGTTTTACCCAAAAAGAAAACATTCATCAGGAGTCTTACCTGCCAGTGGAGGATTATATTCCAAATCAACCCAAGAGTCAGTTTGTGATTTCCATCTACTATGTCGGTGCTTCCAATATTCACTAAATCAACCTGTTAAAGATAAAGGGAAAGCATTTGAAGGAAAAAGACAAAGTGTCTATTTGGAAAGAAAACAAAACAGGAAGGTAATTGCATTTAGCTATTTTCAGAACCTAAACAGTATTACAGCTTTTAAAAAAATAATCCAAAAATGAAACAAAATGCATTTGTAAATGGACTTTCTGAAACAAACAAGTACCCCTGAACACATTTATAAAGAGATAGGAAATGAATGTACTTTTAATATATAAATAGATCACTGCAGATTAAAGAGGCCAATCAGAATATCTCCAAATAAAATGTGTAACAATGATAACTCATAAAGGATTACTAAAATTAAGATGTGCGTCCTAATAGAAAATTGAAACTTAATAAATAGAAGCTCCACCACTACTTCAATTTTGCTTAGAGGAGGGCTATTATAATTAGAGGTGACTACATTTGACTAAAATGCCATTGCTTTTGAAACAGGTATTGTAACTCAAATAATAGAGCTATGGCATGCTCAATTTTCTCAGTCCTGACTGGGAATCAAAATCTGGCAAAGTTTTAATTTTATTATTCATTTGTTTGTTTCTTTGTCTACTGAGAGACAGAGAAAGAAACAAGAGAAAGCACGAGCAAGAGAGGGGCAAAGGGAGAGGAAGAGAATCTCAAGCAGGCTCCATGCTCAGTGCCAGCAGAGAGCCCAATGGAGGACTCAGATCTCAAGTGAGATCATGATCTGAGCAGCAATCAAGTAAGACACTTGACCGAATGAGCCACCCAGGTGCCCCAGGTTTTATTTTTCTTAAGGCAAATCCTATTTCCTGTCCTTTATGCTCCTAATATTTTTAGGTGGCATCAGGTTAAATGTAAGTATCAGGCAAATGGGTGCATAAAAAGATGTTCAACATTACTAGCCACTAGGGAAATGCAAATTATAACCACAATGAGCTAGCACTACACACTTATCATAATGGCTAAAATTTTGAAATAGTGACAATACCAAATGCTGATGAGGATATGGACATGCTGATCACTCATGCATTGCTGGGGAAAATGTAGTACAGGCACTCTGGAAAACATTTTGGCACTTTCTTGTACAACTCAACATGTGCTTAAGCATGCAATCCAGCAATTGGACTGTACGGCATTTATCCCAAAGCAATGAAAATTTATATTTATACAAAACCCTATGTACAAGCGTTCATACTAACTTTATTTATAACAGTCAAAAACAGCCATCTGGGAGAAGACCCCAGATGCCCTTCAAGGGTGATTGGTTACATAGCTTTGGTAGATCCATACCATGAAAACCCACTCTGCAATGAAAAAGAACAAACTGTGGATACAGCAGAAACTTGATTGAATCTCATGGGTATTACCCTGAGTGAAGAAACAGAGCCAGTCTCAAAGGGTTACATATAGTATGGTTAAATATAACAGTTTTGAATAGACAAAGTTATAGAAATGGAGAAGAGGGTAGCAATTGCCAGAGGTTAGAGATCAGAGTAGAGGGGTGGAGTGGGGTAGTTGGATGTGGTTACTAAAAGGCAGCATGAGGGATCCTTGCAGTGATGGATCTGTTCAGCAACGTGATTCTGACGGTGGATACACAAATGTACACATGTGATAATGTACAGAACTAAAATCGCGTGTGCATGCATACCTGAGTGAAAGTAAAACTCCAGAAATACAAATACAATCGGTGGCTTGTATCAATGCTGATGCATGTAGTCATACCATCCTCTAGTTTTACGGTATTTTACCACTGGGGAAAAGCTTGGCTAAAGGTACACAGGATCTCTCTGTGTTACCGCTTACAACTACATGTGAATTTACAATTATCTCAAAATAAAAAAAAAAAAAAGTTCATTTAAAAAAATGGGCATCTGGGAATACTTTAAAAGGATAAAACATCACGATAAAGCAACTAAGCAACTTGAGATTAAGATGTATAAAGTGGGTGTGAAACTGTCGGGGCAGGAGTGAGGATTAAGAAGTAACTCAGATTTCTCTCCCTATTTACTATCTTTGGTTCACTGACCCCTTTGGTTGAATTTCTATTTGTTGCCTCCAGGATCCTGCCATTTTCTCTTGTCCCAAGAGCAGCAACCTGAGAGAGTTACCCAGTCACGTATCTTCACATGGATATCTTCTCTAAATAGCCAAGTGTCATTTTAATTAAATCTTTCATCCTCTCTGGCTCTAAACCCTTGGTGGTCTATGTGTCACTGCAATCTGTCTTTCCAATTTGTTTCTTCCTTCAGTAAGATGGGTTCACCATTCTCTCACTCAATGGTAAATCATATTTCTTTCCATTCATATTAACTTTATAAATTTTATTATCTATAACTTGAAATTTTGAAGCTATCTGGGACATCCAGGTGAAAACAACAAAAAGGCTGCCCTCTGGTAAAATTGTCAAATCACTCCCAATTATGCCTCATATAAAATTACTTGCAGGTCCAATGGATAATCAAATACTCACATTTATTTTTGTATTCCAATTATATAAATATCATTAGTGTGTTGGGTGAAAACAAAGAAAGGATACAGAAAAGAATGTAGAATCATCTGAACAAGAAGAGAAGTTCAAGATACAAGTCCATAGTTTAATTTCAAACATATTTAATAGTGGAGGATATTACTGAGCTCTGCAATAGATTTTAGATGTGAGAATTGATACCATATGGACTCTACAGAGAAGTTAGTCTGAAGTTGTGTGTATATGGACATTTCAGTAAGGCTCAGTTGAGGAGTGGATAAATGGAAGCTCTCAAAGCTGGCTAACCTGAAAGACCTTAACTTTCTTCTGTATAGGAAAGTCACAATGATACTGCCATTATAAGATATTGCATATGTACTTATTTCTGCCAGGGATGCTTTTTTTGCACTTTTGAAATTCAGGAGTATCTCATGCAAATTATCCCTAATTCAGTAAGCTGTAATTCATTTGAATATTTCAAATTCTTGGGCATTCTCATAAATTTGTCTGATACATGCAGATAATAATTTGCCATAATACTTTTGTTTCAATTATACAAAGTAAAATACAGCAAGTTTCTTGAATTCATTAAGGAAGGAAAACATAGAGATCCCAGGGGAGATTAATAACTCAAGAACAAGAAAGCACTGTGATCTACATTTCATTTGGAGATTCCTTATGTGGTAGTAAAGGAAGGAGCTCCTCCATATGGAAAAGCTACTATAAATTCATCATTTGAATCACTGACACATTCATTCAACAAATACATTTTGACTATATGTCAGACACTGATGTACTTAGCGCGTGAAAGAGAAAATGTTCCTGCTTTCTGGAGCTTAATTGTAGTGAAAGTGATAATCAGACCATATATTGTTAAAAATTCAGTTAATTTAATGGAGAGGATGTGATTTCTTAGGAGATGGACTTATACTGGGGGAATCACTGCTAGTAGTTATGTTGAGACCTGTCATAGGGAACATCCTGGGAAGACTCAGTGCAAGCAATAGACTTGCCTCTATCTACTTTCATAAGCCTTCTCACTATATCAGCAGGGAGACTCTTCCTCTGTTTCTTTATCCTCATAAAATCCGTCCTAAGATCCAATTTCTATTATGTCCAGATACTATGCTCAGCTCTGAATAAATAAGAGTAGAACAGAGCCCCTAATGTCAAAAAAGCTTAGAGGCTAAAAGCAGGGTACATAATAAAACCTCATTAAAATTAAGTAGGGTCTAGAAATTCCACTTCTGGAGATATACCCAAAAGAAGTGAAAGCCAGGACTTGAACAGATATCTATATACCAATGTTCACAGCAGTGTTACCAATACCCAAAAGGTGGAAACAACCCAAATGCCCATTGTCACATGAATGGACAAGCAAAACATAGTATATACATACAATGAAATATTATTCAGCCTTAAAAAGGAAGGAAATTCTGACACATGCTACAACATAGATGAACTCTGAAAACATTATGCTAAGTCAGGGCACCTAGATGGGTCAGTTGATTGAGCATCTGACTCGATTTTGGCTCAGGTCATGAACTCACAGTTTGTGGGATCAAGCCCAGTGTTGGGCTCTGCAATCACAGCACAGAGCCTGCTTGGGATTCTCTCTCCCTCTCTCTCTGCCCCTTCCCAGCTAATGCATCTCTCTCTCTCTCTCTCTCTCTCTCTCTCTCTCTCTCCCCTCTCTCTCTTGCTCTCTCAAAAATAAATAAATATGAAAACATAATGCTAAGTCAAATTAGCCTGACACAAAATGACAAACATTATACGGTTCCACTTCTAACTGGTGCCTAGAAAAGCCAAATGTATACAGAAATCAAGTAGAATAGAAGTTATTAGGGGCTGGAGTAGAGAGGTATGGGAAGTTATTGTTTAATGGATAAGAGTTTCAGTTTGAGATGATGAAAACATTTTGAAGATGAGTAGTGTTGATAGGTGTGCATCACTGGAAATGTAGTTCATGCCACTAAAGTAGATAGTTAAAAAGTTAATTAATTTATATGGTAAATTTTATGTTATGTCTGTTTTACCACAGTAAAATTAAATAATAAAAAGAAGCTATTCTAATGTACACACACACACACACACACAGAAGCTATAGACAATCTGTATCTAAAGGAATGTGGATGGATGTGTTCCAATAACATTTATAACAATGGAAAAACTCAAGTAGGTAGCTGTGTCTCACAGAGGCTCCATGGACAAAAAATATATATATTACAGGAGGGTAAGCAAAAGAACAAGGAGATATTCACTATTGATTGAATTTGTGAAGAAGGAGTATAAAGATTGGAAGAAAGAAAGTGGCAGATGGCGAAGGCATGCCAAGAAGACCCCACAGGACTAAAGATACAGGGGTGGGGTAAGGATAACACCAGATTGGCAATTACAAGGATTGAGCTCAGGAACAATGTGGCAAGGGGTGAGGTTGTTCAACAATCTGGGACAGGATTATGAAGAGTCTTTAAAACCCATTTCACACAAGGAA